CTCGTTCCTATCGTTGCTCCGGGGGAGAGCCAAAGGATCTGGGGCGAACCCTATGGTGTTGGACTCTATCGGCCGCCCGCCAACCTGCGCGGAGACCCAGTTACAGAAAGCTCGGGTGGCCGTCCCATGATGTCCTAATACTTAATTCTAATAGCTTCTTGTTACTACTAGCGTGGCACTTGTTCCTAGTAGCGAACATTGTTACTACTAGTAAGGCACCTGTTACTACTAGCGATGCACTTGTTACTACTCCATGACATGATAAGGGGGGTTCTGGCTGAGCCACGAGCCTTTGCATGTGACACAATTTACAGCTTGCATTGCCGAAAACAGCAGCGTGACAGCGTGTAGCAAACTCGCAAGCAAGAATTATATGCCAAGTGTTCAGAACTTCCTGATTCCATTTGTCGTCGATTGATCCTTGGCTTAAACAAAAGGTTGACTCAGGTGGTCCTGCAATCCCACACTGCCACACTGGGAAGCAAAGATGCAGTGTAGGAAATGTTTGGGCTTTGAGATGAACAGGCAGAAGTCCAAGACTTGCCAACGTCCAAAGTGTTTGAGGCAATTGTGACCCTTGGCAGTGGAGGAGAGTCCTACAGTCATAGGTGTGAACAGAATCCTGGTCTTTCCGGAGTCTTTCGGAAGCACCTCCCCCCCACACACGGCCTTGTTGTGGAGGGAGCTCTTTTCAGTTTCTATTGAGCATTTACATATGCCACGATTGATATGAAGGGGCTCGAAACAGCACCCTGTGCTAGAACAGACAAGGAAAAAAGAGCACCAGACCAAAAAGCACTTTCAAACTATATCCATGGTTTTCCACAGGTCACCCTGAAGAACATGTTTGAAACCTTGGTGTTCAGGAGGCTCTTCAAGTGATCCTACGCTCCCACAAGTCCGCACCGGTCCAAACCTTTGCCATTGAAAAAGGTGCCCCTGGCACGCTTGCCTCACTCAGCATCTGAGGCTATGCACGAGATCCGCAGCTCCTGGAACAGCTGCTGGAGGCCTGTCCCATGACTGGAGAAGGACAGGAAAGGCGAGTGCCTCCGTCACATTGGATCCAAGACTGGAGGATGTTCAATCACTTTGGGAGCTTTCTAGCCGATGAAGGTGCTTGGAGATCTCAAAACTCAAAGTGGTGTTCACTGATTGTCAACACTTGGGGATGGGTCTAAACCTGGAGCTCCAACACAATGTAGCTTGACTTTCCTAGGTTGACGGTCAACCAAGGCATCCTGGTTTTGGACTCGACCCATTTCTGGAGTCTGACTCGCTCTCATTTGTTCTGAGAAGATCTCCTTGGTGGGTGAATTGATTATGTTCAAATGTACCGGTCCTCACAATTCCTCACAGTCTTTTTTCCCTTCCCGTCCTCCTTGGATTTGAACATTTGGACAAGATGTAGGGGCCCGTCCAAGGAGGACAAGATGCCAGAAACACCTCCATCCTCCTACAGTTCTCCTGCTCCAACCAAGGTCGGGAAACTGGGGTTTTGTTTGACTCCAGGACTCCAGGGTCAAGCTTGACCCCTTATTCTTCCGCGATTCGGTTCGTACATGTTCATACTTCTGGAAAGCATCCCAACATCCTCCGCAGAATCAGTTTTGGGAACCGCAGGCCGAGAGTAAATGGAATCGAAGGGAGGCACGAATCGCATGGCGCTCGATGAGGCCTGACGCGTTTGTCAGACCTTGTGTTTTCTTTTGTTTTGTTTTGTGTTTCCTTTGGTAGCAGAGATGATGAACTTCGACAAAAGTCTGATCAGGAGAAGTGTCGATCCACCGGGAACAGTTCTTAGATGGTGAAAGGAGAGGGCTGAGCATAGTAGGTCAAGTGAAAAGTTGTGAACCGGTTGTTTTGTGCCGGTGGTGCTTTGCATCATTGATGTAAAACAACTTTGCTTAGATTCCAAGATGTGCAACGTCTCAAACTTCTTCATTCTGGGCTCACCGTTGGTTCGGGTCAGCCAATATCCCGGAGGCATGCCACCTTACTCTTGCCAGAGCTCTTCGACAAAGTCGTGAGCTTTGTGTGATGCAGCTGAAGTCAGTGCAGTTTTTGCGCTCGCCCGTCCCGAGAATGATCCAGAAGAAGGTGCAACTACTGAAAATTATTGACAAGCTGGGAAGCGAGTGAACAAATGGTCAAGTATATAATTGAAGTTGACACCAAGGGATGCAATTGCAGCAAATGGCAACAACAAACTGGTAGAAAGAGCAGGGCAAGATGCACCAAGCACATATTTTAGTTTGATTCCTGTGGCTGGTTGTTGTAAATGTTTTCGTATGTCGTTTGATGATGTTTGATGCACTTACAAGTATCTCAAGCAATTTGGGATATGCTTCGTAGGTCCTGCAAGTGGAGTTTGTGTCCATTCCTGTAGTAGAATGTCTTGGGCAAACAGGTAGGTACACATATAGCATGGTGTTTTATTTATTGGGCTTCAGGCCCGAAATAAGGAGTATTATATAAAGTAACAAGGTAATAGAGGAAAGAATTACCGAACACACTATGTGTTGAGTCTACAATGCTACAAGCATTTTCTCAAGCTCGCAGCTGCGTACGAATGCAACTTGTTGATATGCATTGCACGTTGAGGCCTTAGCAATCTTTGTTTTTTCAGGGTCATCTCTACATCATTGCTGGAAGTACTACAAGTCAGGATAATGTGCGCCCCGATGCCTTTGGGCAGGTGTCAGTTGCATTTATTGGGTGCACGTGTATAGAAATTCGATCTTATAAACCTCAAGGTTCCCCCTTGAGATTGTCAAGGGGTTGCCTGAGCAGGGAGTTTGAATGGATGAGACTGGATGACGCACACCAATACACCAGCTTTTGAATGGATGAGGATCCTAGAAAGGCAACAAAAGTCGTGTTTTGTCATGCCGCTGAGCTCCCCGGAGGATTTAATCATTTGGGGACGCGTCTTCGAAGAGTTGAAGAAATGAAGATGAGCCCCGGGAATGTCCCGCATTCCCATCCCTATAAATTCAATTTTAACTGCATCTAGACTCTCTAGACCTGCAGCATGGCTGCAGAATTCGCAGGTCACTGGCAGAAGGATGCCAAAGATGGAGCAATACCTCAAAGGTCAGAATCACTCTTCCTGCCAACCTCGTTCCCACATTCCACGGCTGTCTTGGACAACTCTTCACACGGGGAACGTACGAGACTGACATTTGTCAAGGAAACTCAAGGAATCTACGACTTTCGCAACCTCAAGGCCAATTTGCGCCAAAGATAGTTCGATCATGATCATGATCTTCTTTTGCGGGACTGAAGGGGCAGCGGGCAGTTTAACGAACGTGGGCATTCGACATCAGCGTGATATGCCTCGACTTCTCAACACATCACGACCATTCTCGATGTGATTCCACTCACGGTTTGCCAAGTGACCGTTTTGCAGGTAGACCGGTAGACCGTTGCAGCCGGTGGTCCCAGAACAGAGTCGCGTTCGGGACTTTCAGCATGACTCAGTCTGGGCTGCCGGTTGCACCGGGTGAGTTTTGCCGGCGATGGCCGGAGAGAGCACAGTCATGTGCGCGAGAGATGGCTTCACAAATGAAGATTAACCAGTTAAAATCTTTCACATTTATATATACTTGAGCCAACCAGTTCCGACTTCACCAATGAAGGCAACTGCGATCCCCATTGCCATTTTCGATTTGGGCTGTTTTTTTCTGTCATGGTTCCACTCACAATAGCTCGCGCGACGGACTGTGGCGGAGGAATGCAGTCCATTGAGGCGGATTTTTGATCTTTGGATCTCCAATTAATGCTTAGTTGAGTTGTGTTAGGGGATGGCATGGTGTGGAGGGTCAATTGCTGGCCAGGATCTTGGACCTTGGATCTTCCACCAATCTTGGGACTCCCTGCCTGCGTGATCCGTGTCCTTGGGCTCCGGTTGGTTGGAAGTTCCTCGAGTCCTCGCGCACAGCAGCATTTGACCCAAGCACTGTGCGCAGCTGCAGGGGATAGATACTCGAAGCTCGAGAAAGTGGCCGATGGAATTGCCAGTTTTTCTTCTTGAACCATGCTGTGATTGGTTTATGGACTGATTCCTGGTTCAAAATGTTGTTTGGGCACAGCACATGTTGCAGCCTTTTTTTGCATGTGCCCAACTTGACCTTGGACTTTGTTTGCAAGATAGGGTAGTAAAGATGGAGAGAAATTTGAGCAACCGCCAAAACCTGTGATGAACCATTTGGGAAAGAGAGGTCGTGATCTTCAGGAATTTTGGCTAACACCTTCAGCTATGTTGAAAGTGTGCCTCAGGCCTGAAAAAGCGAGACTGTAGGCTACCCTCAAAGCAATAGCCTTGTTAAACAACGTTTTGGCAGACGCTCATGTGTTCTTGCTTTCTCTCTCCCCACTCTGTCTCTGGCATGTTGCATGGCCAACGCAGCTATTTAGTTCAGAAGCGAAGCTTCAAAGGAGATCACTCGAGTCATCCGAGCAAACGTGCTTCGAGCCTTCCTGCAACCCCAGTACCATTCTCCTTCTCCTGAACGAAGGGGACCCCCCCAAACCACCAAAAACATAGACTTGACATCACTATCATCACTGGACTGTATATAACCCAGACAATCCATGCAGGTAAATGACCGACCTACATTCATCCCCAAAGACCACCAAATGTAGGCACATATGTGCTTACATGGATCGTTTGGGTATTATAAACTTACATATACACCCTAGCTTCCCGATTCCCAACTCCAATTGATTTAATAGCCTGAATCCCGAACAACCATAGTTTGACTATGTTCTACTGAGGATGTTAGAAAACGAAGCCAGTTCAACCATTTTAATAATGGTCTTTGGAGGCCAGAATATGAGGCACAGAACAAAGTTTGTCCATATATCCCTGACGAAGGTGTGTCTTTCTGGCACTGTATAGATGTATGCTTTCAGGGTATGGCTGGGGAAGGCTCCTTTGTTGGAACCAAGCGAAGCTTTCGGATTCCCCAGTTCCGGCCGTGGCCACGTTTTCGGTGATGGATCCGCTCCTTGCGCTCCATGTGCTGCTTTGCTCTCCTGAATCGGTGATTTTCAAAGCTGTTGTTCCTGGGATGCACTCCACCAGCTGTCAGCTTGAGTGTCAGCATAGATGACAGCACAGTTTGACAACACCCCCACAAGGGATAGGCGCCCAAAAAGTATCTCAGGAAAGTCAGAAGATGTCGGACGATGTTACACTGAGGACTGCCCTTAGGTTGAGGCTAGTCTTTGAAAGCAGACCTTTTGACCCATTTGGACCTCCCGAATCAGTCCGGCATGGCCTCAAACGACCGATGGTCGCGCATTTTTTTCGCATCAACCGAGGCATTCTTCCTTGATTCGAAGGCTGGGGCGGCGGTAGACTCGGTAGACTCCATACCGACACAGTCAGGTCAGAACCTGCAAAACCATTATCTATTGGGGGTTCTCTTCTAAACAAGAACAGGTGAACAAAGGTTAGCTAACAAAGTCGGCATAGGCTCATAGGTTTTGAGATATTGCGACGGCTCAAGCGGATTTTGATGATATCGGTAAGCCTCATGTCATGGGTTTATTGGCACATGACGTGGTGTCTGAGAATCGTCATTCCAAGCTGGGCAAGAAGTACTCGGCAAGATTGCATTTCCCCAAACCTCGCCTATTCCTCTTCAGCACTCCGAGCACCGTTGTCCAAGCTTTTGCAGCAGGTTCTGCTAGCCTCGCATTTTGTTGCCCTCTTGAAGGCTGATAGAACCTGCTCAGCGCAGTTCCTTTGGAACGGAACAACACCGGTAAAGATACCAAAGCCACGTACTGTAAAGCCTGAGAGCCGTCATTCTTCGTACGCTTTGATGACTTTGCTCACGCACGACTTGCTAGGGCACACGCTTGACTTTTCAGAACTTGAGGCTGAAATGCCACTAATTAATCTGAAATGACAATCAACAACAGAATGTATTCTAGCGCTTGCACCTTTGTAGCCAGGAAGACAAACATCAGCCTGTGAATGAAGCAGATGCAGTGCACTGATAACACATCACGTGATATCGATGATCAAATGTAGAGATGTTGATGCACGTGCGCGAGTATTGCGCGTGCGTATTTTAAGTTCTTGGCGAGGATGTGGTTCGGTAGCATTCCACCAGACTTTCGGATCCGGGGGGCTGAGTAAGAACAAGGGTGTAAAGAACTGGAAAATGAGAATCCATGAAAAGCCGACAGTTTTCGAAGAGTGGACAGGCTGAAAGGCTGGCAATGGCATCCAGATGAGATCTGGCATTCCTGTTCTTGATGGTTTTGAAGATTTAGTTAATTCCCATTTCTAATGATCAAGGTATAGCAAATGAAGCCACTCTGAATATTTTTATCCACAGTACTCCATATAACTTATGTAGCTTTGGGTTGACGAAACAACTCTTGGATGTTTGTCGGCAATCCGTCTGGTCGTGGGAGACTCGCGCCGCCAAAAGCAAGACGCCCTGCCTGCGTGGCCTGCGTGGCCCAGATTCATCTTAAGGTCGCGGGTATGAAGCCATGAGCCTCACGACTTAGGCTGACCATTTTTGGGCTCTGTCATTTCTGTTTACCAATGTCATTTGCAGGTGTGCGTTCTTGTTGGACTCCTCTAACCTGGCTGTTCTCATTCTGTTCCGTGACATGTGCTGTGCACCCCCACTAGCCACCACATGAACCCCTGTCGCCAGCTCTGGTTTCGCCTGGCAGCTGTGGTGGCCTTGCTGGTCTTGCTGCAGCTTCTCCTGGTGGTGGGACAGTCGGAGGGGAACCAGGATACTCATGGGCCATCAGAGTTTACGCCGACAGACTTACTGTAAATCATCTCTGTTCTAAGTTCTCATCTGGGGCATGGCTGGGACCCATGGATGTGCGCATGGGCCGCACGCTAAGAAGCATGGAAGCATCATACAAAGCTATAGAGAATAGGGTTTTGAAAACAAGCATTGATGATCTTTTTTGAATGACTCTTTGGATGTAGGTGCTTGTCTTTGGGCATCCTCAGGAGGAGTCACTGGCCATTTCAGTGGTCTTCGCTGGCTGTGCGCTCACCAATGTGGTGGCATTCGCCTCCTTTCGCCCACAGGCATCAAAGATTCGAAGATGGATTTGGAAGATTGGGGGATCAGGGTGTTGTGGCAGTGGGCGAGGAACGGGTGGGAAGGTCCACAATCTCCAACCTTCATTTAATTTTGGTATTTTTTGTTGTTTTCACCTGGGCTCGGTGTAGGTTATATTATGGGTCGAGGCCCAAGTTCTTCTGTGGCGAAACCAAGTCATAGAGGCGGATTGTTAAACAGTCCCGCGAAGGTGCGGATTGTTAAACAGTCCCGCGAAGGTGTCCGCACTAAAATAATGGCAAAGGCATGCAGCACAGACGGATGAATGGACACGGCAGTAGAGCAACACCTGTAGAATACAGGAGGCTATGGGAGACTACAGGTGTTTCACACATATGATACGTGTATATGCATGTAATGATCAAGGTAATGATATGTAATGCATTAATGTATGTAATGTAGTGTAGTGTAATGTAATGCAATGGTATGGTATGGTATGTATGTAATTCATGTAATGTACTGACGGTACTGTACTGCAATGCATTGCAATGCAATTAATGTAATGTAACGTAACGTAATGTAACGCACGTGTATATTTACATAATATATATATATATAGTATCCCCATAAGAGCACTGTGCGCCGTAATGCGCCGCTGACATGGTCAGGTGGTGGCACTCATTGGACGGCGAGGGCTTCATCCAGCGGAGGAGGTGCTGCGACGCCTGCGGCGGCTGAGCGTGCGGAGGGCGCCCTGCTATTTGCGCTGGATGGAGGTGAATGACAGGATGCGGTTGGACGTGGGGCCATAATGAAGGGAATGGAGAGGAACATGGGGATGTGATGGGATGTGGTCGCGTTGGAAAGGCTGTTTGTGGTGTTGTGGCATGTTGTGCTGCAGAAAACGAGATGATAATGTGTGTGTATGTATATATGTGGAACGCTTGGAATGCAAGGAGTGCAATTGACATTGCACTATAGGCACTACAAGCGTGGGGGCAAGGCCTCCAGCGATGAACCTTGTCCAACGATGCTAAGTCGCTGGAAGGAAAAACCGATAGAGACTTCCATTCATGTGTATATAACTTCCTCAGAACTCTTGGACTTTTGGCTCAAATTCCCACGGCTGTGTTTGGCCAATCAATATATATATATATAAATCACCATTTGGAATTTGAGCCAAGAGTCCTGACAGGGATGTAGCTGCCACGTTTGTGAGTGTTGTAGCCATTCTCCACTTGCCTCACAGATGTGAGTTCGATCGTTGTTTGACATGGCTTGAAACTCTGAGCCTTGAGCCGCTTCTGGACTTGAAACTGATATGACGCCCATCTCATTCATGCATACGATTCGGTTTTGTGTGTTTTAAACGACCTAACAGCCGCGTTGTGCCGCAGTGGATGCTTCACTCGCAAGTACACCTTCCTGTTTTCATCCTTAATCCGTAGTATGCGCAGGGTCTTGAAAGATTTTGAATGCTTTTCTGCATGTTTTTGGTACTCACAAGGACTCTAGGGCCCGTCATCCATGGTTCTTTCTTTTGCTCCGCCTGTAGCTCAATGGGGCCACCTGAACCGCACGACATCCCAACCAAGAGTGCCTTTTCCACAGAACTGGAGCCATAATGGTTATGGAAGAGCCTCAAGTAGATCCATTCAAATCTATCCAGATCCTTTCCTTCTTGTTTCTTGGACTTGGAAATTCATCTTCCCAGACACTCCATGTACCGAATATACACCTATACATCTATATACATGTTTTTTGTGATTATATGTATAATATATATAATATAACATATATACATATATACATAGAGTAAGGCACTTGTTACTACTAGCTTCTTGTTACTACTAGTAAGGCACTTGTTACTACTAATATATAGTTAAAAATATATTGGTACAACATGGGATGGTTTTATCGGTCAATCTACGAACATCTTCCAGTCCCATCGGTCGTGCCTGACCTTCAAACATCCCATCGACACCGTGGGTGCGTCCGGCCGGCAGGTCCTTTCTTCGGTCGTGCTACGAACAGGACCTTGATCCGGTGCTGCGACCTTGGAATTGGCTGTGGTGTGCTGTTGGTGATGTTGGCCGGGGAGCCTGGTCAAAAGAACCCGAATGAATGGAGGATGCCTCTGATGCCTCTTAAGATCTGGAGACGTTTGGAAGAGTCGATGAACACTTGTGGGTCGCATGAAGTGAAACACAATTTGAGTGGCGGCGTGCTGAAGTGAAGTGAGAGATTCACACATTCATTTAGTGCGGTATACCTTCCTGCCTGCAGCTTGGCTCAGTTTGAACAGCTCTGAATTGCATCATGCATTCACAAGGGGCCAGAAGCTTCCCTCTAAAGACACACGCCCACATGTTGTCCATATTATGGTTCATATGATGGTCCAGGTGTGTGGAACAGTTGTTGATCGCCGAGACTCGACTTTCGGTCATTTTTTGGAAGCGGAGGCAGCTGACCCAAGTCTAGGAATTTATTTACTTGAATTTACTGATCACTTCGGTCCCAAAAATGAAGGGGCTACGAACTCTCCCAGCTGCCTGGATCCGCGGTGGGACGTCGAAGGGTTGCTTGGAGGAGTCGAAGGGATCGCCGTTTTGGGCGCCTGATGGCAGGGAACGTCGACCATGTTCAATTAAAAAGAGCACTGAAGACTGAAACCAGGATGACACCTCAAAAGCATTCAAAAGCAAGGAGTTTGATTCATTCTGCCTTTGGTGCCACTGTTTGAGCCATAGGGGTGAACCCTTTGTTTCGCTTCGCAACGAAACAACGTGCACTTAGGCTAAGCTAAGCGAGACCTGTTAATAACAACAAGCTTGCCGCGGCAATCTCAGGTCATGCAATTGAACCAACATGTTTTGGGGACCAAATCGTCCTCACCCGTTTTCAGGATTTTTACTGGGCGTTCGTAGGACCACTTGATCGAAGGGGATCCGGCAAGCCCGGATCGAGTTGGGGTGGTTTGGAACACGGGAAGCTCGAGTCCGCCACCACACAGCCCGGCTCCTACAGGCTCCCCAATATCACCAGTGGAAGAAAGACCAAAACAACACTTTTCCGCTTTTCCGCAAGAATCAGGCACCGCAGCTTAAGCTGGGGTGACCTTTGGTAGGCCAAAACAACAGAGAGCATGAAAGCACCCCGAGCCAAGCATTGGTTCATGGGTCCAAGATTTTGTCATCCATGGTGGGGGGGATTCTTCGAGATACACCGGTCTCCCAACCCACCAAACAAAGCGGCCACCACAGGTGGATTTGTTGAACAGCGGTTGGGTTCGTGTTGTCCTCGGCCCATCGCTCAGGGCTCTTTTTCAAGCGCTCCTCGTTGCCACCGAGTGGTCCACAGCGGGATCAACTCATCCTGGCAGCCTTGGGAAGCCCGGACATGGCTCGCACACGCCACGGTCAGATTGGAACGGTTTCACATGGTTTCCTACTGGGAGATCAAATTGGAAACTCAGTAACTCCAATTCAGCAGATCGAGGGTTGGGGAGGTTTTTAGTTTATAGGATGTTTCAAGAGGGGTGAAGTCCTTTCAAATCTAAGAGGTTGGTTGAGCCACTGATCGGTGGTGAAGAATGTGAACTTTGGACATCTCCAGCGGAGGCAACACTCAAATCTTCTCGTGATCTTGCCTTGATATGACTGACCTTACCTCGCCCCATCAGTGAGCAGCCCCAAGGCACTCTGAAACATCGCCACCCAAACATTGCGCCAAATCAGGTGACTTTGCCGTGCAGTATCTCAAACGTGCATCAAGACCCCAATACATCAAAGCCGTTCATCTTTCTGAATTCTCTCCTAATCCCTGAATGTTCCCTATCTCCATGAGCCCCCACATGTTTCAAACATCAAACCACCTTTACAAAAATGGCCAACTCCTCAGTGTTCTCCATGTGCGCCACAGCAACCCAAGTGCTGATCTTGGATGAGCCTGACCCAGACTCCGCAGGATCCATCGGGTCTGCAGCTCAACGGCTTGGGCGGTGGTATCTCCTCGACCAGCAAGGTGCGGCAGCTCTGGAGCCACGGCGTCGTGTGGTTTGTACCTGTTCGGGCAAATGTTTATGTCTGGGAGAATTTTTGCTTGTGGGAAATCTTTTTGTCTAAATCTTTTCCCGGTTCCTTAAGCAAATCCAATGAAACCAAATGATGTGATTTGTGCATAGCGGACGGACTCACCATATCAGCTACAGATAGCTACAGTATAGCTTTCGTTTGGAGATGCGCGCTTTCATTTGAGGGTGCGGAGGCTTTGTGAAGAGTTGCGTTCAAGGGGCCGTGTTGAAAATCCAGACCACATGTGTTGGAGTCTTAGGGAATCTTAGGGATGGATCAGTGGATCATTTTCTGTAACTATGCAAACATTTTGCTTGTGGACGAAAAGGCAAACATTTTTCTCAGTTGGAAGATCCTTCCAACATAAAATGTGAACACATCTGAACACATTTGCCAGTTTCCCAGGTTGCTCGATTGGACTTCTCCATATTCGATCTACTTCAGGATTTGTAGTCTATACTATACAGTCTACTGTTGGAAGTCCGGTTACCGACGATTGTTTGCCACGCCATTGAACTGTTTGGAAGTTCCTGGACTGGGGTCACCGACTCAGACCATTTTCAGAACAGTCGACTGGACTCGCAGGGAATACAATGTACAACATCTTGCGATCTTGACTATAATATATTACATATATTATATACAACCTCCCAAGCCCGAACAGTTTTTTAATCCATGTCTGGGGGTTGAAATGTCATCACATTCTTCCAAATCCCACACCAAACCGACCAGGATTTGTATTCTATAGTCTGAATGCTTTTCGAAATGGAAAGCACAGTCCACAATCAATCTCAGACCTTCCGAGCATTGGATATAGTTGATCTATCTTGATCGTCCTTGTTACTAGTAGCTATTTGCTCCTAGTAGTACGGCCAGGAGCCTTGCTCCTAGTAGCGATGCCAGGAGCCCGTAGTAGCATCCTTGCTCCTAGCAGCGATGCCAGGAGCCCGTAGTAGCGTCCTTGCTCCTATGGCCCAATGGCATTTGTTTGTGGGTTCCCGGAGCCGATTTTGTCGGTAGACCAGGTCGGCTGTCCGGAGTGTTTTTGGGAGCGTCGATCGGTCAGAAAACCGAGTGGCTCGCTCGCATGAAATTGTAAGAGAAGATAAAGAAGTTATGTACGTGAAGTGACTCTATGACCTGCAGTCCGTTTTGACAGGTCGTCATCGTCTCAGAGTCTGATCGCTCCTGGACTTAGTTTTGGTCGGGTCGTTCCACAGGTGAACATGAAAGAACACGTCGTGTTAGCATGCCATGCGAAGCTGAAGAAAGTTCCACAATGTTCCACATTTGGATCAGTCATGGTCCATTGCTTCTTACGGGAGATACGGGAACATCATCCTGTTGGACATTCTTCTACAGACAACCTTCTGGTTTAGAGGCCAAGCAAGCTAAGCTGCGCACTAAGCGGGTATGCTTTCGGGGTCCAGTCATTATGTTGGGATTTTCCGGTTGAGGTGAGGGCTACGATGTGGATTATCTCTTCGGGCAGGTTGAGATCAAGGAGCCTTCCGAAGTGACTGGCAAGTAGTGGGGTTTATTCTGGATTCCGAAAGAACCTTGTGTGATAGGATAAAAAGGATGAAGGGGCTGCTGGCTGCTGGTCCCCCCATTTTGCAAAGACGCATTCCAACATGCAACCCGACCACAACTCCTTCGTAAACCACGCCGGCCCACACTGCACACAGCGGCATGCCAGGAGAGGGTCATCAATTGGCAAGGCTCCTTGACTTCAATGCTGGCTGAGCCGCTTTCAGGATTTGGCTTGCTACTCACATACTCACCAGAGTTCCTGTGTGCTTGTTCATCTCCCGGGAGAACAAGACCCCCTTTCATATCTTTCATGATTTCCGTGTTCCCCAGAGCTGTTCTGCGGGAACTGGCTCAGATCAGCAAGAGTTAGCACTGCAGGTAGTTGTGGAAACCTCTCTGCTGGAGTTGGACTCTTTGCCCTGGCGGAGGGCTTTGTGACGCCTCAGAAAGGCTCGCGTTTTCATGTGCCCGAGTCGGGCGATTCGATCGCTGATGGGAGGGTTTTTCAGTAATTGATTCAAGCCGATTAATCTTGCAAGAAGTCTTATCTTCTGGACCTGTCTCCATGGTTGCTCCACTTCGAACTGTTTCGGCTTCGGCATCGGTTGTGTCGATTTTGCTACAGCCAAAGTAGGCCAAAAGCGCGAACGGGCCATGGATGGTTTGCTGGGGATTACAACTTTTTTACCAGGAGGTGAATGGGCTGTGGTGACAATGACCACATGCATCACCATGCATCCAGTTCCTCTTTCTGGTCTCCCAAAGGATCCGGACCCGAAGCAACGCCCCAACGGGGGGGTTTGGGGCCCCTTCGACCCCCGCGAGTGCTAGGGGTGGAGTTTTTAGGACTCTCGGAGAACGGAGGGGACCACGCCGACTCAGTGGGTCGAAGGATGGGTGGATTATAGCGTCCTTGTTACTAGTACTAGTAGTAAGGCCAGGAGCCCCTAGTAGCGTCCTTGCTCCTAGTAGCGATGCCAGGAGCCCCTAGTAGCTTCTTGTTCCTAAAATGGGTGGTGGTTTCAGAGATTTTGATGTTCAACCTTGACTTGGCGATTGGATCCCCATGGATTAACTTTGTCAGTCGACTCGTTTTCCAAAGATTCACCTGGTTTGGCGCCCATCCATGCGAAGTCTGGGAACGACCCGGTCGGTGGACGGAGATCCCCCGTGACTGATCCAGATGATCCATAAGGTCGGACGCAAGTTGTGACTGTGACCTTCTTCGCTTCTCTCTCGCTATTCGGTGGAGGCCATCGCTACTAGGAACAAGGACGCTCTTAGGTTCTTCACTTTTCTTCCAGCTTTTCCAGCCTCTGAGATGGCTATTGGCCGGCGGTCTGACAGGCACTACATCGGTTCGAGTTTGGCAAGTGAATCAGGGCTATGGCATGAAGGTCCACGTCCCTGCAGGTGTTGATGCACCAATGGAGGCTAGGAAGTATGCAGATAGTTTCTGTCAAACCCTGCTGCCTGCTGTTCACTT